CATGTAATTCACTCCACAATCATTAAGTATTAAGAATACAAAATTAAATTAAAAAGTTCGAATGAATTAAGTCAACGCTCCATTAATTCGACTCTCGCGCCCTCACCCGGCCGAACATAATTTCAAGCGAACCCCACAGAGTTATGTCCCTTGGAGCGCTGTTACGAATATCCTCTAATGCAACTTATGATTGAAACCAGTTCGACAAACACCGACAACACCGCCTGCAACAGTTTTCGAGTACGGAGCAATTGTTGACATTCCATACATGGCAAGTGTTCCCTGTTTGGAAGCTGTTCGCCTCGAAGTTTCATTTTTCGATTACGGCAAGTCGTAATGGATAATAAATCTGTTATTGCTTCAATAGGAATCTAAAGTGAGTGCATATGCCCCGATATGTATAATATATGCCAAAATATTATCGAAAATATGTGACCCTGTGCCTGTAACTTCTTACGTCCTAATCTCATAAGCACATTGACGCTCTCAAGGAACCAGTAACTGAATGTGAACTGAACAAAATCCAAAGCAGCTAGCGTTGGTGCGGACAGGATACAAAATGAACACATCAATTATGGAGGACAGTATCTATCTGACTTTTCTCCCAAATCAAAACATAATTAAAATCCTTTTCTCATGAATAAAATATGTTTGAAACAAACCTTGCTGCCTGTCATGTACAAACTCTCAGAGATACCCGTTCACAATAGACTCACTACCTGAGCACAATAATAACCCAACCCCTAACCAAGGCAACTGATGCGACATTGGCTATATCATTACACCTTTCAACCTCAACGAATGAATAGGCTACAATGTGGAATTATGCATTAGAGTATTATCATTGTCCCCGAATGTTCTCCAAACCCTTCTGGACATTGCATTATGACCCTTCAAAGTCTTATGCCATTGTGTTTGGTGCACCTGTTGTCCAGATATTCAGTGGCACCTGTCCTTTGTCCAATTCATAAAATGAATGTTGCCATTGTAACATGGTGATTCCCAGTGGAAACGGAAATCGTTTTGTACTGACTGTACACGTACAAGTATACAGTTGAAACACTGTTGCTCATTATACAACAAAGTAACAGGTAAAATGTAAAGCATCACATATGTTCAACTTTTGATGTTTTCTAGGTTTGCTCAGAAGACGTGCACAAATGCATCTATCCTATATTTAATAAAATCTCTAGCACCGTGAACATTAAACAACTTGCAAAGGCATTTTACGTTTGATCTTTCCCCACTATAGTCTAAAAATAACTGCATTTACTCGTGGACAAGTTGTTGCTGAGTACATTGCTTCCTTCTCAGTTGAACAGTGCATTCACAATTTAATAAGAATGAACATACTGCGAGTTGCCTGTGTTATTATATAGAACGTCGCACAATGAACTACATTATGAACAATTGCAGTGTTACGGTGCACTTGTGACAGCCTACAACAGCTACGTGGTTCATGCACAGGGATTCGCATTTTGACCAAAACGCAGGACAGAGCTAATATGTATTGTTACCACAGAAGCCGTTACAACATCTGGACTGAACACTTTCACTGGCTGTTGGGGTAACATTAATTGGTTATCCGCTTATCCTTACTGTTGCATTTTATCTTCATTTCCGCAGACTTAGTATTGAGGGAGTATTGTGTTTAGAAATACCCACCATGCCATTGTTTTGGCATTTCAAACTAGTAATGAATTAGCCAGACGAAGTATCGTGCCTTGAAAATATTTGCATTGTACCAGTTATCAATGCTGAACTATGAAAACCTTCAGTGCACTAAAAACATTATTTATCTGCAATAACAACTGCAAACGTTAATTTCAGACATTACATACATAACGTCCTTGACGTTGACTTAACAATTTGTATGTTTACAGCATGGTCCGTTAGTATGAATATTAGCCTTTCCTGACCTTTAAACTGTTATTCTTTTTCGATCAGTCTAAGCAACGGCTTGAAGAAAAGCCAGCATGGGGCAGAAGATACGCAAGAGTCACGGAGGCTCCAAAGTTGGTACACGTCAAGGGGAACAACAAACTACACAGCCTACTGATAGAGGCAGCCAGTCGCATACTGCAGCTGATAGTGACCAGCAACATGGGACTGAAGGCGACGACAATCAACACTTGGACGTGTCCCAGCGGCAACAACCACCACAACAACAGGCAACATATAAAGCAACAACAACAGGTGCAATTATTCGTATTGTTAATATTTTGATTCCATTACAATGTATTATGAACTAACTTGGAGTAAATGCAAGGGTATTGTCTGCAGGGTTTCTCTCACTACTCTTTACCTCCACATTCTTTATTTTTGTAGTGCTGGGAGACGTAAACGTTGTCATGGGCTCTGGTTGTGGAGCAGTGTCCTCAGGTGAGAAGATCCTTCAGTTTGGTTCAGTGAGAAATTAGGGAGTCGGGAACTCTAGGAAAACATGTGACTGTTGTTTCAAGTTTTGCTAACATGATAAGTATTTGTTTAGTGATACTTGTTGATGGGATGTCATTTTGACCCTTTCTCTGCCTATATACACTTAAGAAGTAGCCACGGGATAATGTGGTTCTTACTGGGTAATACATTATGATAAAGTATGACAAAGCACAGTACTTGCTTTCATATATTATGTCATGGAAACAAGTCATACAAACAATACTGGCAAACACAATGTTTGGAAATATGTGATGGCCACGGAGAACCAGCACTGCTGCGGTTAGAGTGAGTAAGTTGGCGATAGAAGATGAAATAAGTCATATATATAAGGACGAATTGGGTAAATATGTCTATCTCCGCTTTGGTTAAGATAAGGTTTCTGAAAAAAATTGATTTTGAGTTTGTTGAGTGGTGTTTCCAAGACTGGGATCTTGTCAGCCAGTATTCGACCAGGATGTGTGAATAAAGCACATATCAAACATGACATAGTGGTAATAATAATCGTTATAATATATATGTTAGACACTGCACGTGTATAGTATGTTTGACAGTAGTTTTATACCACCTGCTAAGAGTACATCAGGTGACTCTTTTCACTTTTTCTGAAAATGTTTACCTCAAACTGACAAAGATATCTATTCGTATGAGTATTGGAAATGGTATAATCTTGATTTTAAAAAAACTATTTAAATATACGTTTGAGGTGTTCCAGGGTCACTGGATTGGAAACTGGAATCGACTCGGGAAGTATTTGTACAGACTGACAGTTTCCAAAAGGTGGAGTCGAAGCTGATTGAACATGGACATGTGACTATCACGGGCGCCTCAGGAGAAGGAAAGACAAGCATGGCTCTGATGCTGGGTGCTAAGTACAAGAAGAAAGGCTTTCAATTGGTATTTGTTGACAATGTTGACAAGTTTGATCTTGCTGTCTGCGTCAAAGATGGACAACCACTGTTCATTGTTTTGGATGATTTGTTTGGAACCGGTTCATGTACAGAGATTTCAAACCTAAGAAAGGTTCTCACATCACTTGACGAATTCATCAAACACTTGACTCGGTCTTCTAAAACAAAAAGGATGACGCGACAGCAAATGAAGACAGGGCAAGGTCACATACTAGGACTAGGAGGTGTTAGACCAGATCATGACATTCTTCCACAAGTAAAGGTGAAACAAGATTTAAACCTTTACATTGTGTTTACGAGTAAATCATACAACTTTCAAGAAGTAGTACCTCGGCTAGGAGGACAACAGTTTAATTTCTTCAAGCCACAGACTGTCGTTGATATGACTAGAACACCTCTCTATCAATATTCTGTGGCCGAAAAGAAGGCAATATTCAGAAAGCACCAACAGAGTAAGGGGCATGACGTACAGATTGACCTAGACCAATTATGCAACTCCAAAGACAGCTTGTTTGGCTTCCCTATGACGTGTTCCCTGTATGTTAGATTGCTTGACTACCAGAGTGATCCTCTTGAATTTTTCCTTAATCCTCTGACCTACTTGCGGCAAGAAATAGATGTGATCATGGTATCCAAACTAAAGATATCAGCAGCTCTCATCCTCATGGTCCTGTATAATGACAAGCTCGATCTGAGAAAGTTGGAGAGGAAATCTGACGACCAGCGTCTTGAGGCAAAACTGCAAGTAGTGGAAACCATTCTCCCAGGAATCACCAGGGCAGATATCTACGAATCTACTAAAAGGCTAAGAGGGACATATTTTCTTGAAGAAGATACAACAGCATTTTCTCACCCATCCATACTTGATGCATGCCTATGCTCTGTTTATGATCTTCATCCGACTCTTGTTCTTACCAACTGCAGTATGCAGTTCCTATATGAAAGGGTGAATTCGAACCCAGTACCATCAACAGCAATAGACAACAACAGTAACATCATCTTTGTGTCAGAAAACTACTATGATATAGTAGCTGCAAGAATAGCAGAATCAGTATTAAGAGGTGAATACAGATGGTCAATTTCCCATCCATTACTACAAAATGAATCGCTTGCTAAGAGTGTTCTTGAAGATCCGGAGGTTAAACAATGGGTTAAGAGAACCGATTTTCGTTCTCCGGATTGTGATGATAAATATTTCATCCACTGGGCAGTACTCTCAAAGAGTGAATATGTAGTAAGGACCGTCATAACGCTTACAGATCACATTTTCTCAGGGAAAGAAATAAAGGCAGCTCTTGATGCCTCAATACTGAGTGGCAGCATGGCAATTATGGAGGTATTGTTCACTGCGTTTGAAGACAGGATACCACAAAACACTGTTTCCGAATTGTTTCTTGATGCTGCAGAAAGGGAACACATTGAAATGGTAACGTTTCTGCTGCAGGAAGGGGCGGACGTAACTAAAACTAATAACGATAAGGACAACATTTTCCATGTCGCAGCTAGAAGAAATAATATCGGGATAGTAGATGTTGCACTGGCATACACTGAACAGTGTATCCTTGTGAACAGCCGAAACAAATATTGCACGACACCCATCATGGAAGCTGCTTTCGCCGGTTTCATGAGTGTATTTTCCAGATTATTGGCACATAAGGCTGATCTAACTCTGCTTGATGACGAAGATAACAGTGTGTTACATTATGCTTGTCATGGAGGTGGTAACACGTCTATTGTTCAACACCTCATCACAGTTTGTGATATTAACAAGAAAGGGCGTGATGGTCGGACCCCAGTCATGCGTGGCAGCTCTGTGTGGTCAAAAAGACGTTTTTGACTTACTGGTGTCCAATGCAGCTGATCTCACACTGGTTGATGATGAAGATAACAGTGTGTTACATTATGCTTGTCAAGGTGGTAACACGTCTATTGTTCAACATCTCATTACAGTATGTGACATTAACAAGAGAAGGCGTGATGGTCGGACCCCAGTCATGCTGGTGGCAGCTCTGTGTGGTCAAAAAGACGTTTTTGACTTACTGGTGTCCAATGCAGCTGATCTCACACTGGTTGATGATGAAGATAACAGTGTATTACATTATGCTTCTCAAGGTGGTAACACGTCTATTGTTCAACATCTCATTACAGTATGTGACATTAACAAGAGAAGGCGTGATGGTCTGACCCCAGTCATGCTGGCAGCATTGTGTGGTCAAAAAGACGTTTTTGACTTACTGGTGTCCAATGCAGCTGATCTCACACTGGTTGATGATGAAGATAACAGTGTGGTAACATTATGCTTCTGTCTGGTCAAGGTGGTAACATATGCCCCAGTCCTGGTGGCCTTTTTGACATTGTTCAACACACTCATGATACAGTATTACATTATGCTTCTCAAGTGACATTAACAAGAGAGAGGCGTGATGGTCTGACCCCAGTCCTGGTGGCAGCTCTGTGTGGTCAAAAAGACGTTTTTGACTTACTGGTGTCCAATGCAACTGATCTCACACTGGTTGATGATAAAGATGAAGGTGTGTTACATTATGCTTGTCAAGGAGGTAACACGTCTATTGTTCAACACCTCATCACAGTTTGTGATATTAACAAGAAAGGGCGTGATGGTCGGACCCCAGTCCTGGTGGCAGCTCTGTGTGGTCAAAAAGACGTTTTTGACTTACTGGTGTCCAATGCAGCTGATCTCACACTGGTTAATGCTCAAAATGAAGGTGTATTACATTATGCTTGTCAAGGTGGTAACACGTCTATTATTCAACACCTCATTTCAGTATGTGACATTAACAAGAGAAGGCGTGATGGTCGGACCCCAGTCATGCAGGCAGCTCTACGTGGTCAAAAAGACGTTTTTGACTTACTAGTGTCCAATGCAGCTGATCTCACACTGGTTGATGCTAAAAATGAAGGTGTATTACATTATGCTTGTCAAGGAGGTAACACGTCTATTGTTCAACACCTCATCAGTGTTTCTGATATTAACAACAAAGGGCGTGATGGTCGGACCCCAGTCCTGGTGGCAGCTCTGTGTGGTCAAAAATACGTTTTTGACTTACTGGTGTCCAATGCAGCTGATCTCACACTGGTTGATGATGAAGATAATAGTGTGTTACATTATGCTTGTCAAGGAGGTAACACGTCTATTGTTCAACACCTTATTACAGTTTGTGGCATTAACAAGAGAAGGCGTGATGGTCTGACTCCAGTCATGCTGGCAGCAGTGTGTGGTCAAAAAGACGTTTTTGACTTACTGGTGTCCAATGCAGCTGATCTCACACTGGTTGATGCTAAAAATGAAGGTGTATTACATTATGCTTGTCAAGGAGGTAACACGTCCATTATTCAACACCTCATCACAGTTTGTGATATTAACAAGAAAGGGCGTGATGGTCGGACCCCAGTCATGCTGGCAGCTCTGTGTGGTCAAAAAGACGTTTTTGACTTACTGGTGTCCAATGCAGCTGATCTCACACTGGTTGATGATAAAAGATGAAGGTGTATTACATTATGCTTGTCAAGGAGGTAACACGTCTATTGTTCAACACCTCATCAGTATGTTTGTGATATTAACAAGAAAGGGCGTGATGGTCGGACCCCAGTCATGCTGGTCAAGCTCTGTGTGGTCAAAAAGAGAGGCGTTTTTGACATACTAGCTCTGTGTGGTCAAAAAGACGTTTTTGACATACTAGTGTCCAGTGCAGCTGATCTCACACTGGTTGATGATGAAGATAACAGTGTATTACATTATGCTTGTCAAGGTGGTAACACGTCTATTGTTCAACACCTCATTACAGTTTGTGATATTAACAAGAAAGGGCGTGATGGTCGGACCCCAGTCATGGTGGCAGCTCTGCGTGGTCAAAAAGACGTTTTTGACTTACTGGTGTCCAATGCAGCTGATCTCACACTGGTTGATGCTAAAAAGACGTTGAAGGTGTATTACATTATGCTTGTCATGGAGGTAACACGTCTATTGTTCAACACCTCATCACAGTTTGTGATATTAACAAGAAAGGGCGTGATGGTCGGACCCCAGTCCTGGTGGCAGCTCTGCGTGGTCAAAAAGACGTTTTTGACTTACTGGTGTCCAATGGAGCTGATCTCACACTAGTTTGTGCTCAAAATGAAGGTGTATTACATTATGCTTGTCAAGGAGGTAACACGTCTATTGTTCAACACCTCATTACAGTTTGTGATATTAACAAGAAGGGCGTGATGGTCGGACCCCAGTCATGCTGGCAGCTCTGCGTGGTCAAAAAGACGTTTTTGACTTACTGGTGTCCAATGCAGCTGATCTCACACTGGTTGATGATGAAGATAACAGTGTGTTACATTATGCTTGTCAAGGAGGTAACACGTCTATTGTTCAACACCTCATCACAGTTTGTGATATTAACAAGAAAGGGCGTGATGGTCGGACCCCAGTCCTGGTGGCAGCTCTGTGTGGTCAAAAAGACGTTTTTGACTTACTGGTGTCCAATGCAGCTGATCTCACACTGGTTGATGCTAAAAATGAAGGTATATTATATTATGCTTGTAAAGGAGGTAACACATCTATTGTTCAACACCTCATCAAAGTTTGTGATATTAACCAGAGATTGAGTGATGGTCGGACCCCAGTCATGCTGGCAGCTCTGTGTGGTCAAAAAGACGTTTTTGACTTACTGGTGTCCAATGGAGCTGATCTCACACTGGTTGATGCTAAAAATGAAGGTGTATTATATTATGCTTGTAAAGGAAGTAACACGTCTATTGTTCAACACCTCATCAAAGTTTGTGATATTAACCAGAGATTGAGTGATGGTCTGACCCCAGTCATGCTGGCAGCTCTGTGTGGTCAAAAAGACGTTTTTGACTTACTGGTGTCCAATGCAGCTGATCTCACACTGGTTGATGATGATGATAACAGTGTGTTACATTATGCTTGTCAAGGTGGTAACACGTCTATTATTCAACACCTCATTACAGTATGTGACATTAACAAGAGAAGGCGTGATGGTCTGACACCAGTCCTGGTGGCAGCTCTGTGTGGTCAAAAAGACGTTTTTGACTTACTGGTGTCCAATGCAGCTGATCTCACACTGGTTGATGCTAAAAATGAAGGTGTATTACATTATGCTTGTCAAGGAGGTAACACGTCTATTGTTCAACACCTCATCACAGCTTGTGATATTAACAAGAAAGGGCGTGATGGTCGGACCCCAGTCATGCTGGCAGCTGTGTGTGGTCAAAAAGACGTTTTTGACTTACTGGTGTCCAATGCAGCTGATCTCACACTGGTTGATGCTAAAAATGAAGGTGTATTACATTATGCTTGTCAAGGAGGTAACACGTCTATTGTTCAACACCTCATCAGAGTTTGTGATATTAACAAGAAAGGGCGTGATGGTCGGACACCAGTCCTGGTGGCAGCTCTGTGTAGTCAAAAAGACGTTTTTGACTTACTAGTGTCCAATGCAGCTGATCTCACACTGGTTGATGCTAAAAATGAAGGTGTATTACATTATGCTTGTCAAGGTGGTAACACGTCCATTATTAAACACCTCATCACAGCTTGTGATATTAACCAGAAATTCAGTGATGGTCGGACCCCAGTCATGCTGGCAGCTCTGTGTGGTCAAAAAGACGTTTTTGACTTACTGGTGTCCAATGCAGCTGATCTCACACTAGTTGATGATGAAGATAACAGTGTGTTACATTATGCTTGTCAAGGAGGTAACACGTCTATTGTTCAGCACCTTATTACAGTTTGTGACATTAACCAGGGAAGGCGTGATGGTCTGACCCCAGTAATGCTGGCAGCAGTGTGTGGTCAAGAAGACGTTTTTGACTTACTGGTGTCCAATGCAGCTGATCTTACACTGGTTGATGCTAAAAATGAAGGTGTATTACATTATGCTTGTCAAGGTTGTAACACGTCTATTATTCAACACCTCATTCCAGTATGTGACATTAACAAGAGAAGGTGTGATGGTCTGACCCCAGTCATGCTGGCAGCAGTACGTGGTCAAAAAGACGTTTTTGACTTACTGGTGTCCAATGCAGCTGATCTGACACTGGTTAATGATACAAATGGTGTATTACATTATGCTTGTCAAGGAGGTAACACGTCTATTGTTCAACATCTTATCACAGATTCTGATATTAACAAGAAAAGGCGTGATGGTCTGACACCAGTCATGGTGGCAGCTCTGTGTGGTAAAAAGACGTTTTTGACTTACTGGTGTCCAATGCAGCTGATCTCACACTGGTTGATGATGATGATAACAGTGTGTTACATTATGCTTGTCAAGGTGGTAACACGTCTATTGTTCAACACCTCATTAGAGTTTGTGATATTAACAAGAAAGGGCGTGATGGTCGGACCCCAGTCATGCAGACGGCTGTGCATGGTCAGAAAGACGTTTTTGACTTACTAGTGTCCAATGCAGCTGATCTCACACTGGTTGACGCTAAAAATGAAAGTGTATTACATTATGCTTGTCATGGAGGTAACACGTCTATTATTCAACACCTCATTAGAGTTTGTGATATTAACAAGAAAGGGCGTGATGGTCGGACCCCAGTCATGCAGACGGCTGTGCGTGGTCAAAAAGACGTTTTTGACTTACTAGTGTCCAATGCAGCTGATCTCACACTGGTTGATGCTAAAAATGAAAGTGTATTACATTATGCTTGTCAAGGAGGTAACACGTCTATTATTCAACACCTCATTAGAGTTTGTGATATTAACAAGAAAGGGCGTGATGGTCGGACCCCAGTCATGCAGGCGGCTGTGCGTGGTCAAAAAGACGTTTTTGACTTACTGGTGTCCAATGCAGCTGATCTCACACTGGTTGATGCTAAAAATGAAAGTGTATTACATTATGCTTGTCAAGGAGGTAACTCGTCTATTGTTCAACACCTCATCACAGTTTGTGATATTAACAAGAAAGGGCGTGATGGTCGGACCCCAGTCATGCAGGCGGCTGTGCGTGGTCAAAAAGACGTTTTTGACTTACTGGTGTCCAACGGAGCTGATCTCACACTAGTTTGTGCTCAAAATGAAGGTGTATTACATTATGCTTGTCGAGGAGGTAACACGTCTATTGTTCAACACCTCATCACAGTTTGTGATATTAACAAGAGAGGGAGTGATGGTCGGGCCCCAGTCATGCTGGCAGCTCTGCGTGGTCAAAAAGACGTTTTTGACTTACTGGTGTCCAATGCAGCTGATCTCACACTGGTTGATGATGAAGATAACAGTGTGTTACATTATGCTTGTCAAGGTGGTAACACGTCTATTGTTCAACACCTCATTACAGTAAGTGACATTAACAAGAAAGGGAGTGATGGTCTGACCCCAATCATGCTGGCAGCAGTGTGTGGTCAAAAAGACGTTTTTGACTTACTGGTGTCCAATGCAGCTGATCTCACACTGGTTGATGCTAAAAATGTAGGTGTATTACATTATGCTTGTCAAGGAGGTAACACGTCTATTGTTCAACAGCTCATCACAGTATGTATCATTAACAACAGAGGTAGTGATGGTCGGACCTAAGTCATGCTGGCAGCTGTGCGTGGTCAAAAAGACGTTTTTGACTTACTGATGTCCAATGCAGCTGATCTCACACTGGTTGATGTTAAAAATGAAGGGGTATTACATTATGCTTGTCAAGGAGGTAACACGTCTATTGTTCAACACCTCTTCAGAGTTTGTGATATTTACAAGAGAAGGCGTGATGGTCGGACCCCAGTCATGCTGGCAGCTCTGTGTGGTCAAAAAGACGTTTTTGACTTACTGGTGTCCAATGGAGCTGATCTCACACTGGTTGATGCTAAAAATGAAGGTGTATTATATTATGCTTGTAAAGGAAGTAACACGTCTATTGTTCAACACCTCATCAAAGTTTGTGATATTAACCAGAGATTGTGGCAGCTCTGTTAGGTCAAAGAAACGTTTTTGATTAACTGGTGTTCAATGCAGCTGATCTCACACTGATTGATGACGAAGAGCACAGTGTGTTCCATTATGCTTGTCAAGGAGGTAACACGTCTATTGTTCAACACCTTTTCCCATTATGTTACATTTTCAAGAGAAAGCGTGATGGTCTGACCCAAATATTGGGGGCAGCTCTGTGTGGTCAAAAAGAAGTTTTTGACTTACCGGTGTCAAATGCAGCTGATCTAACACTGGTTGATGATGGAGATTCCAGTGCGTTACATAAGGCTTGTGAAGGTGGTAACACTCCTATTGTTCAACACCTCATCAGAGTATGTGACATCAACTAAAAAGGGCGTGATGGTCTGACCCCAGTCATGCTCGCAGCTCTGTGTGGTTTAAAAAGATGTTTTTGACTTACTGGTGTCCAATGCAGCTGATCTCACACTGGTCGATGACGAAGATGTTCAACACCTTCATCGAGGTTTGTGACATCAACAAGAAAGGGCGAAATGATCCAGTTCCAGTCATGTAGGCAGTTCTGGGTGATAAAAGAAATCATTTTTCACTTACTGGTGACCAATGCAGCTGATCTCTCCCTAACTGACAACGGTACTAATAGTGCGTTGATTGCAACTCGTCTATTTTAATGTAAGATAAAAGCGAAGGGTATGAATCTTTTATTACGTTTGAACCAGTTGTCGTCAGATGGATGAATATGATTTGCAATTAACAAAGCTTCATCAGGTTATAATGATAGCATGACGAGCCCATTTGAAATGCAAGATCCGGAAAGACAATAGTTTCTCTTCGGAGAAGTTAACTACAGCAGGGCACGATTTATGACGGGACGGCCGTCCAGATGTGCCTTCATGCCAACGCGACAACCATATTCGGTTGGTTTATCCAGTAGGTCAGTACCAATAGCTAGGACAACTTTGTGGCAGAACCGCAGTCAAACAGTCCAGGAAACGGGTGACCTGCATCGCCTAAATCTGGACGAAACCTTATATGTTTGAACATTTGGTATCTTATTATGAGCTAGTGTTCGAGTATAGTACTACGCTAGTTGAGATTGAAAACTAACACTGACAAACCATTGTATTTGCAATGTTTCACAGCCTTGTAAATAGCATTTGCTTACCATTTAGCTAGATCATGTTTAAATGTGTACTAAATAGTTTTGCTCTATATCCGTTTGTATGAGCACATATGCTAGGTCTTGCATCCACAGGTAACATTGTTGTATTGTTGTTGTGAGCATAATGATAGCTCAGAGATGCACGTTTTGTGTCTATCTCCTTGGTGTAGTGTTGGACGGTATGTAAGCCGTAATGTCAGAATGTGATGAGATCATGTTGAGTGAAGGGCTTATTGTATGTACTGACTGACTGAGTGGGTAAGAGAAGGACATGTCCTTATTATCATGGCAGGCACTTGGGAAATTACTTCCCATTCTCGAGTGGTGCATGTTTGTTTGGTAAATGTCTTCATGCGTTTCTTTCTTGTGTTTGTAAATATTGCATAGTATGTCTTTTTTATCTGTGGTGTTAATGTAGATGCACATATATTTGCACAGTCATTTCAAGGATTTCTCTTACAAATTTGTTATATCTCAACCAAATGAACTATAAGTAGTTTATCTCACGTAAATGAACCATATGTAGTTTATGTAAAACAAACTAACTGTGTATGGCTTATCTCACACAAATGAACTATGTTACTTACATACAACAGTTTGTATTGGCAGGGGCTATTCCACATATTAAAATCATCACCAGCATTGTAGACAGCATTGTGTAGTATAGATCATCGTGCGTGTACTTCTTGGTTCGGTCAGGCACCTTTTGCAATCCTGTGGCCTCATGAATAATAATAACAGAACCACTAGTTGATGTGCCCTTGGCAAAATTTTCAATTTTAAAAAGCAACATAAAAATAGTGAGTGAGTTTAGGTTTACGCCGCATTCAGCAATAATAATGTATGCCAGCTATATGGCGGCGGTCTGTAAATAATCAAGTCTGGACCAGACAATCCAGTGATCAACAGCATGAGCATCGATCTGCCCACATGGGAACCGATGACATGTGTCAACCAAGTCAGCGAGCCTGACCACCCGATCCCGTTAGTCGCCTTTTACAAGCATGGGTTACTGAAGGCCAATAGTCTAACCCGGACCTTCACTGGTCCAAAACAAAATATACTCGCTTGCAAAAAAATGACTTTGTTGAGAAGTAACATTGAATTAAATGCTAGGGGGGAATTCTTGCATATGTTTGTTATAAACAAAATGTTGTTAAAAATATTTCATTTATGTGACGTTACTTATACCACATATGAAAAATTTAATTAGTTTTTTCATGCATCTAAAAAAAATGTTGTTTGCCTGATTAGTCGCATGTATTAAGGATTGCTGTGTTTATGTCAGACCATTTTGCAGTTTGTAAAGCTGATCATGACGTCACTGACAAAATTATTGTGAAGGCTATTGGTTATATGTACCAATTTGTTGTACATGCAGTTGATGTTGGTTATTCTGAGTATGTCCATGCTCGATTATATGTTAAATACCAGTTCATGTATGGTTGTTCCAAGAATACTATCAATCTGTTATATAATGTCCTTGAACCAGACAAGGTTCCTGCACATCTAAGACAGATGGTTATTTTAAACTGAATGTTCCAAGAGATGTATTCATTTGGGGCTTGCACAGCGCCTGATTCAGATGGAATATTGTGGAAGGCTGCAGAAGGACTTGATCACGACCAAGTACCATCATCAACTGGGATTAGAGAGTGATGTGAGACTTGGATGTGAGAAGTGGAGATACGCCTGTAGTGACAGATATATCACTACTGTAGACTCTGTTGATCTGTGACTTTGGCGACATACCTGGACGTCCCTCGTGTGTTAATATGAACATTCAGAACAGTCGCGCCAAGCGCTGTGTATGGTGTATTCTTTGATGTATGGAGCCACGTGATTATATGGATACTGTTGTGATGTGAACAATGCCGTTTTGTTATATACCACAGCGTGGTGTATTCTGTAATGTATATGAACCATGTTATTATATGATGTGAGCATGGACGTTCGACAAGGATGTATAAATAATCCTGTGTTGTTCATTTTGTTTTTGAATGATAGTTATAAAAATTACCAAATGTAATTATTTGTCATTAAGTTTGCTGAAGATAATTCTTTATTATTGTTTGCAGATGAAATGTTGAGCAAGGAAGATAATGTTTACATGTATCATATATGTATTGTGTCATAAAGTATTAGTTCCATATATGTCCACTACAAGATACTCCAAAGGTCTGCTATTTCCCGTTGTATCAGATCGTAGAAGTTGGTAGATCCACGTAGGCAACAGATTTGAAACAACTTAGGTTTTAATTTAGTATAGGTTGGACAAGGAGTTGGAGATGTGTCCTACTTTCTCATTGTTGGCAAGAAAAATCTACAGGACTGTTGGAGGCACACTCCGGCACACCGTGTAAGTGAGCGCAGTAAACCTAGAAATTATGTTGTCCTTAAATGTGTGTTGGAACCAGAGAATTTTTTTTTTTTACAAATTTAAAAGTAAAAATCTTAGAATTGGCGATAGTGAGATGTTGCTAGAGAGATAGAATCTGTAAATATTGTTTTGATAACCTGAATGTCTCTGTCGTGGAGGATTATGTGCACTTTATTACATCTTGCCAACTGTGACGCCAGTTCAGACACACGCTTCTACAACATTATGTACAATCAGTTTATGTAAAGTTGACAAGTTTGTGAAAGTTATGACTTACAGGGGCGATGGAGTAACCAATCGGTTAGCTATTAAGATTCCACAGTTTTGTAGATCGTGTGATGTACAGAAGCCAGGCAATCATAGAGCAACAGTTAAAGGGAGACAACCACTAGTCACTAACACTAATACATATAGCATGGTAAATGTTGCTGTTATTCAGTCACTCAATGTTTAAATTACCTTAGTAAAGAGTTTTTTCTGAGATCACAATATTACCCTGTATTGTTATTGTTATTATTATGTTTCACAGAGAGAGGGTTCGGGTGATATAGTATTACTGCAGTTACATTTAACATCCAGTGGGTCAAACTGAAGAACTATGGGGGGAGGTAATACATGCCTTATCAGAAAGAGGTGTACGGTGATGTTGAATCAGGTGCAATGCTCCAGTGACAGTTGGCTTGTATTTATTTGTGCATTCGTCTTATTGCACATGTGTTGTGATAATGATTTTGCACATGTGGGACAAAACCCTTGAATACTTAACTTGAATCGTGTTACATGTTGTACATTGTTGACAGGTTGTATTGATGTTAAGAAATTGCTTTCGTCACAATCATGACGTTATGCAGTTCAATGTAATATACCCTGTGTGTTGTATTCTTTAATGTATATGAGACATGTTATCATTTGGATACTGCATTGATGTGTGAACAATGCATATTCATGTAATCATACCCTGTGATGTGTATACCCATTGTGATGTATTCTTCAATGTATATGAGTCATGTTATCATATGGATACTGTATTGATGGGAACAATGCAGTTCTGCACAATGCAGTTCTGTAATATACCCCTGTGTGGTGTATTCTTCAATGTATATGAGTCATGTTATCATTTGGATACTGTATTGATGTGAACAATGACGTTCTGCAATATACCCCTGTGTGATGTATTCTTTAATGTATATGAGTCATGTTATCATATGGATACTGTATTGATGGGAACAATGACGTTCTGCAATATACCCCTGTGTGATGTATTCTTTAATGTATATGAGTCATGTTATCATATGGATACTGTATTGATGGGAACAATGCAGTTCTGTAATATACCCATGTGTGGTGTATTCTTCAATGTATATGAGACATGTTATCATATGGATACTGTATTGATGTGAACAATGACGTTCTGCAATATACCCCTGTGTGATGTATTCCTTAATGTATATGAGTCATGTTATCATATGGATACTGTATTGATGGGAACAATGCAGTTCTGTAATATACCAATGGGTGATGTATTCTTCAATGTATATGAGACATGTTATCATATGGATACTGTATTGATGGGAACAATGACGTTCTGCAATATACCCCTGTGTGATGTATTCTTTAATGTATATGAGTCATGTTATCATATGGATGCTGTATTGATGTGAACAATGACGTTCTGCAATATACCCCTGTGTGATGTATTCTTCAATGTATATGAGACTTGTTATCATATGGATACTGTATTGATGTGAACAATGACCTTCTGCAATATACCCCTGTGTGATGTATTCTTTAATGAATATGAGTCATGTTATCATATGGATCCTGTATTGATGGGAACAATGCAGTTCTGTAATATACCCCTGTGTGGTGTATTCTTTAATGTATATGAGTCATGTTATCATTTGGATGCTGTATTGATGTGAACAATGACGTTCTGCAATATACCCCTGTGTGATGTATTCTTTAATGTATATGAGTTATGTTATAATATGGATACTGTATTGATGGGAACAATGCAGTTCTGTAATATACCCCTGTGTGGTGTATTCTTCAATGTATATGAGATATGTTATCATATGGATACTGTATTGATGGGAGCAATGACGTTCTGTAATATACCCCTGTGTGGTGTATTCTTCAATGTATATGAGACATGTTATCATTTGGATGCTGAATTAATGTAAACAATGCCATTCTGTAATATACCCCTGTGTGATGTATTCTTTAATGTATATGAGTCATGTTATCATATGGATACTGTATTGATGGGAACAATGCAGTTCTGCAATATACCCCTGTGTGGTGTATTCTTTAATGTATATGAGACATGTTATCATATGGATACTGTATTGATGGGAACAATGACGTTCTGCAATATACCCCTGTGTGATGTATTCTTTAATGTATATGAGTCATGTTATCATATGGATACTGTATTGATGGGAACAATGATGTTCTGCAATATACCCCTGTGTGGTGTATTCTTTAATGTATATGAGTCATGTTATCATATGGATACTGTATTGATGGGAACAATGACGTTCTGTAATATACCCCTGTGTGGTGTATTCTTTAATGTATATGAGTCATGTTATCATATGGATACTGTATTGATGGGAACAATGACGTTCTGCAATATACCCCTGTGTGGAGTATTCTTTAATGTATATGAGTCATGTTATCATATGGATACTGTATTGATGGGAACAATGACGTTCTGCAATATACCCCTGTGTGGAGTATTCTTTAATGTATATGAGTCATGTTATCATATGGATTTGGTTGGTTGGTCGGTTGGTTGTTTAACGCCGGCAATATTCCAGCTACATGACGGCGGTCTGTAATTGAGGCTGACCAGACAACCCACTGATCGGCATCTTCAGCATCGATCTATATAATGAGGATACGATGACATGTGCCAACCAAGTTAACGAGCCTGACCACCCAATCCCGTCAGTCGTCTCTTACGACAAGCATGGGTTGCTGAAGATCCATTCTTACCCGGATCTTCACGGGTTCATATGAATTCTGTATTGATGGGAACATAGGCTATCTGTAATATACCCTTGCATGGTGAATTCTTTAACGTGTATGTGTCATCTCATTATATACATACATACGTTATTAATGCCATGATGCGATGCATGGCAAACCATCCAAAGAGATTAAACTGTGACAATCGGGGGTTTTGCGCTCACGAACCTCACAAGACACGTGATGATCCAGATAGTTCAGATGACCCAACACTGAGCAGATTCATTATGGATATCTCATATACAATGAACGCTATGCTGATGCTGCTTTCAGTGTTACACGTCATAATCTGTTTCTCTTAGCCCATTTGCCCAGAAATTCTCAGATCCACTTCTCTGTCATGCATTTGCAACCGCTAAGATACAAGTTTTCAGCAAGGGAATGTATTCTCGCCCATGGACTAGTTGCTTTCACGCATAGACGAGATATCTTCATAGGGCAATAAATGACCAAAACTAAATCAAACTTAATTAGTTATGTGTAATGTTACCCGTAGCATATTTTATCTAAATGTTAGCTAAAAAACACAGCTTTTGATCATGCAAAAGATTTATATTTTGAGGTTTCGATAAAATGTTTTTCAATTTATCATCCTTAGTATGTATATATGTAAACATCAAACCGTGAAGATCCGGGCTAGAATTGATCTTCAGTAACCCATGCTTGTCGTATAAGGCAACTAACGGGATGGGGTGGTCAGGCTCGCTGACTTGGTTGACACATGTCATCTTTCCCAACTGCACAGATTGATGCTCATGCCGTTGATCACTGTATTGTCTGGTCCAGTCTCGATTATTTACAGACTGCCGCCATATAGCTGAAATATTTCTGAGTGCGTCGTAAAACTAAACTCACTCACTGCAAATTTCATGCTGTATTTTGTAAGACAGAAACTGTTCACAGCTGGGAGCGTAGGGCCAATGGGTGTCCAGAATTAATTTGTCATGTGATAAGATATCTTACAGTAAGTCTGTTGTACGTGTTACTGACACATATATGCAAAACCATATCGAGGCCGTCACGTGGTCGAGTTTAGCGCCATCTTAACGTGCAAATCACAACCACCCTGCTTTCCTCAATGGACGAGCTTTTACATAGACTCTCAGGTCAGAGGTGTCTGTGTTTGCCAATAAAACCTCCCAGCACGTGACACTTCTTTGTTGACAGTTGTTGTGCAGCTCACAATGCGGTATAAACTAGATCCGGTTTTCAATACCACGAAGAGAATTCTGCTGATTCTATTGACACAGTTTCGATACAAGTGAGCACTTATAATTGATAATGGCCTGTCAAATTCACACTCTAACATTTATTGAAGCATTCTTCTGCAAGTGTGAATATGTTCTTGCTCGATAACAGTTCATTCGGTCGTCTGTCAGTGCTGTGGGGTATGCAAGTGGCGGTTTAAGTGGATGTTCGTTAGTCTGAAATTCCGGGTTTATTTCAGACATAGGTACAATGAGCGAAACCAATTACTTGTGTCGCTGATACTGAACGAAATGTGCTACAAGCGGCGTAAAACCACATTCCTTCATACCTTGTCGAAATAATTAAGCCATGTTGGACCGTTGGAGAAAGAACAGACTTCATTGCTTCAATCGTTGTTCTGCTTGGTCCAGCCTGCATAATATACACCTATACACCACGCTGAAAAATTGATGCCAGTTCAGTAAAATGAAATTAAACTTGTTTGGGGTTATTTCTGATTTTTAGCGTTAGCTGTATGACGTGATCTGTATGGAAACTGCTGACCAAACAGTCAAGTAATTAACACCAAGTCAAGTGACTAACACCGAGTCAAGTGAGTATCATCAAGTCAAGTGACTAATATCAAGTGACTAACATCGTCAAGTGACTAATATCAAGTGACTAACATCAGTCAAGTGACAAATATCAAGTGACTAACATCAAGTCAAGTGACTAACATCAAGTCAAGTGACTAACACCAAGTCAAGTGACTTACATCAAGTCAAGTGACTAACACCAAGTCAGGTGACTAACATCAAGTCAGTTGACTAACATCAAGTCAAGTGACTAACATCAAGTCAAGTGACTAACATTAAGTCAAGTGACTATTACCAAGTCAAGTGACTGACACCAAGTCAAGTGACTGACATCAGGTCGAGTGAAAGATGTCATGAGCATTGATCTATACTGCTGGAGTACGGTGACATGGATTCACCAAGTCAGCAGGCCTGACTTACCTATCCCGTTAGTTGCCTGTTAAAAGCATAGGTTGCTAGAGACCGCAGGTTATCCACAGGTAGAGAGTCGGAATGAACGCTTTAATCAATGCACAGTGAATACGCAATAGATTTCAGAAAGTGATCAGATGTAAATGTTACATCTGGGATTTCACTTTCTTAGTAAATTAGGGGCGATGAGGAAGCCGAGTGGTTAAAGCGTTCGCTTGTCAGGCCGAAGATCCGGGATCGATTCCCCACTGGGTACAATTCTGGTGTCCCCAGGGTTGATATTGCTGGAATATTGCAAATTGCGCCGTAAAACCCAACTCACTCACTCACACACTCTTAGTAAGGTATACATTCAAGTAATTCTGAGTTTATGACGAGGCCAGGATGCTCAACCCACATTCTTACAATGAGACATCAGTTTCAGGGAGGAACACAAAGTACATCGTCTAGACAACCAGTTGTCCGATGTCCCTGTTTATTGAAGCCGTGACTGGATCGTTGACAAATGCGCTGGTGACTGGGCGCCTCACTCTGTGAATGGCGGTTCAAAGCACTTGGATTAATATACCAGTACAGAAGTAGGGGATATTGGATGTACAAGATTGATAAAATGCAAATGATGAAGCCAAGGAGGAAACAGATGATGAAGACAAATTAAGGGAAAATGTGACAATTTATTCCATTCGTTTGGAACTATTTCATCTGTATGGATATATATATATATATATTACTTCTTCTCGTATACATTAGCATTGGCTAGTGGTAAGCTCGCAAAACGGAATATCCCCTACTTTTTTTAAAGGTATACTTCACTGTGAAAGTGCAATCCCAAAAGTAACATATGATGACATTAATAATGGTTGAAACTTTTAGATTTGTTCGGGAAAACTGATAAATAGAGGCTATCACGCCAGTGTGTTTTGGGATGGTTAATATCCTGCATTAGGAATAATCACTGTGTTTAGCGAGCCTTGGCGAGCTGAGTACATAGTGTTTATTCCTAATGCAGGATATTAACCGTCCCAAAACAGACGAGTGTGATAAGCTATTTATTATACAACGTCATTCTTGCTTTATTATTTTAAAAAAGCGATTTCAAATGCCACAAATCAGTATAGACTTTCAGTTGTCGGACGTCCATGTTGATGGAGTGAGTGAGTGAGTTTAGTTTTACGCCACACTCAGCAATATTCAAGTTATATGGCGGTGGTCTGTAAATAATCGAGTCTAGACGAGACAATCCAGTGATCAACAGCCATGTTGATGGAAGCCTCGATGGCTGCCCTGACTGGATCGTTGACTTTTGTGGTGGTCATCGGGCGCCTCACTCTGTGGGTGGCGATACAAAGTCCTTGGATTAATACTTCACTGTGAAAGTACTAATGGTTGAAACTTTTAGGTTTGTTCGGGAAAACTGATATATGTTAATATATGTTAAATATACGTGATAAAACTATAGTCCAGATCAACGTCCTTCAACCAGAATATGGGGTGAGTGATGCAGAAATACTGATTTATAAACAGTCAATATCATAGCTATACCACAATGGCAAACTGAGTTGAAAGAAATAAATTGCCTAAAATATGTGGTTGTTAAGTTTATTATACCATTAAGTAATGAAACGTAGAGCCGAGTATGCAGCTACAAGACATTACAAAACTAAATGAACCTGAGGCGAGGTCCAGTGTGTTATACATACAGCATACGTGTACATTTATGAGTGAACATAAGAACACAGTCATATCATGTAAATCTGCACCAACGCTACTGGAGAGAATACGGGTGACACTGTTGTCACATGTTGATTTGCATGGTTGCATCCCTTAGGTACGCCGGGAAGCTATTATTCAAATATGGTTTCCCTTATGCTTCAAGGTGTGTTGGCACCATACACGCTCTTATCGTTTTCATTAAAGGGCATTATTTTAAGCATTCCTCCCACACTAAGCTGACAAACTGTGATGTATCTGGAATACTCTTCAAGAGGTGGTTAACCCAACACAAACCCTCACTACTTGTGCATAAGCATCACAATGTCTTTATCTCGATTTACCTCCTTTGTTCTGAAGTAAGTTCACCATTTCTCTATGTCGTTGTGCAGTTGCTTCCATCAGTGCCGTGTTTCCGAAATGGTCTGTACTGTTGATGTCGAAAATATTCTTGGACAAGAGACACTTCACAATTTCCACATTCCCTCCACGACAGGCGAGATGTAGTATGTTCCTACACTTGGCATCTGTTAGGGTCAAATCTCCTCCTTTGCTCACGATTATGTTAAACACTTCCCCATGACCATGGACAGCTGCCTCCATCAGTGGAGTCCTTTCACACACTCCCCGACAGTTGATGTCAAAACAGGTCATGGAGAGGATATACTTGACCACCTCAATATGTCCTCCCACACATGCCCAGTGTAGGACGTTGTCACCACCATCATCAACCAAGGACATATCGGCCCCTTTGGACCGAAGCTGCTGTAACAGATGTAGATGGCCTGCATATGCTGCCTCCATGACTGGAGTCTTTCCATAGTTGCCTTTACCATCGATGTTCACAAGTGTGGTGTACTTGCAGAGGATCAGATTTACAATGTACCCATCCCCTCCAACACTAGCCAAGTGAAGGATGTTGTCATCACGACTATCAACCAGACCTACATCAGCTCCTTCACACAGCAGAAATTCCAATACTTCTCTATGTCCCTTCCATGCTGCCAACATCACTGGTGTCCGATTAAGCATTCCACGGGCATTGACACTCCCACCCAGAGACAAAATGTTTTTCACACGTTTTAGGTCCCCCGTAAGGCAGGCGTAATGGAGGGCAGTGTTTTTTCGGGTGATCGGCTTTCAAAGTGTCCATTGTTGACTAAACAGACAAAATACATGACAGATTTCATCACATTTATGTATGAACACTAAACCATCTATTGCAATAGTTTACACTTATATTTTGACCTAATTTCTAGTTCGTTTTAATAAGATGTAGTGCAAGCAGAAACTATATAAATGTCGGGAAAATATGCTTGTTTTGAAGAAATGAAAATTTTTCAGACGTTCGAGTTCAATAAAACAAATTTCATACTGTAAAAAAACCTAAACGTCAAACTTGTCCACATTACGAAGACAATAGTATCTCTATGATAGAAGCAGAGTCGGTGAGCATACATTTATGGATGACTATTAAAGAGTAACTATACCAGGTCTCGTATCCTGCTTGGCCGATCGCGCACGTCATAAACACTTACAAAGATACATCACTTTGTCCCTTGCAGAACATATTAGTATCACAGTATCTAAAGACTATATACATCAGGTATTCTCTGGTACGAAAAGTACAGAGTGCCGATATCAATAACGATTGTTAAAGATGTCACGTTAGACGGCCAAATAGAATGCCTTGGTCCCAGGGTTAGGATATGTCCTTAGTACACTGTTCCTGCTATGGGCGACTACATTAGGCGCTCAAGCCATGTGCCTTATATTTGCATTGGTGTTATTCAGAGGCAGCCGTTATATGCCTTGTAGATTGTGAATGTAGCTTTCTTGTACAAGACGATTCACTCGTTGAACCACTCGGCAAACCAGTGAATTTGATTTGAGTTAGACGTAAATATATATGGGAACCTAACGTAAAATTGTGTTTATATATCAGAATATCAATCAGATGCGAATTTATTTTATCATTTAAGATTGTGGCAACCCGTTCATATTTTCATGGGACCTATTAGTCAAGTTATACAGGGTGTCTCTAAATGCATGGAAAGGACAATGATAAGACACCATTGAGAAATCAATCCAAAAGTATTCTCACAACTGAATAAGGATATCATACTTGATGTTGTAATCAATAGGACATAGTAAAGCTTATCCACAAACATAACATCCAGGACACACTGTCCTTTCGGGGCGGTGGGGTAGCCTACTGGTTAAAGCGTTGGATCGTCACTTCGAAGACCCGGGTTCGAATCCCCACATGGGTACAATGTGTGAAGCCCATTTCTGGTGTCCCCCGCCCGTGATGTTGCTTGAATATTGCTAAAAGCGGCGTAAAACCAAACTCAGTCAGTCAGCACTGTCCTTTCAATGAATAAAGGATACACATATTGAATATAACAGGCTGAAACAATGGATATATTCCTCGTTATGGGGTCGTCCTATTCACTGAAGCGAGAACTATGCTACCTTTAAACTAAAACGACTCACCTCTATCGGCATGGGTGTTTCTAGTGACGTCCAACGTCGTGTTACAGTCGCTGTTCGTAAATGCATAGCGTTAACCAGTCAAACAGGTTGTCTTACAATAGTATCTCTCTAGTGCTTGTATATGTTGCAAGAGAGTATAAATACATACTCAGATTATTAATGCATTCTGTATTAGCTGTTGAGGGCTCCACTCACCAATATGCCAGCTATACACTACACGCCAAAAGAAACGTTACCCTCCTACCTTTATGAATTACTTAAAACCTATCAGAGATATGTTAGAAGGTATAAGTTCGCAAGGAAGCTTAAAAACACAGCTTTATTCAAATGACGAAAAAGAATTTTCTCAAATGCACTCATATTTAGGTGAAATGAGTGAGTGAGTTGAGTTTTACGCCGCACTCAGCAATATTCCAGCTATATGGCGGCGGTCTGTAAATAATCGAGTCTGGACCAGACAATCCAGTGATCAACAGCATGAGCATCGATCTGCGCAATGGGGAACCGATGACATGTGTCAACCAAGTCAGCGAGCCTGACCACCCGATCCCGTTAGTCGCCTTTTACGACAAGCATAGTCGCCTTTTATAGCAAGCATGGGTTGCTGAAGGGCTATTCTAATAAACCCGGACCTTCACGGGTCTTAGGTGAAATGCATCTTTTTCAGAAGAGTTAAATTGTCTTATTTTCGTCCATGCCGAAATAAACCAATAACAGTGATTTAAACGTCCAAAAGAAAGGTTGAAATAAAAGTCTGCTTTGGGACAATGATAAAACATTTAAAGTCACCATTTCTCAACTATTAAAACAAGAAACAACTGTTGTAGAGTCTGTAAAATTGTAAAATAATCATTCCAATTATTTCAGTCTTTTAAAACATTTTCTGCTGATTTGCATTAATGAAAACAAGTAAGACATGTCTTTGGTATTGTGAAAAAAATGTTTAGGAACTTCCACAATGATCTTTGTTAACATTTTTGCTTGCAAAGTAACATTTTTCCATTTTCTGTTTACACATAGTAATATCAATCGCCAAAACGCAGTAATATTCAAGCAGTATTTGCATCCATTTCACATGTAGAATGATTCTATAGGGTATAAGGAAAGCCTAGAAAAGATGATATGATACACAAGTACGAGAAATATGCCACGATTAACAGCTGAAGACAGAGGAGGAGCCATTGGGATGGTGCAGATGGGGTCGACATACAATGCTGTTGCCAACGCTCTCGGATGCAACCGTATCACGGTTATAAGACTTATTCAGGGCTTCAGACAGACTGGGGTCACCGTAGAGACCAAAAAGTGGACGTCCACGCATCATAACGCCAGTTGAAGATGGGTACCTCGTCACTAAGGAAGGAGGGTAACATTTCTTTTGGCGCTAAGTGTATGTCAGTATGGACCATGTGATCGCTCGTATTAAACGCCATAAGGTTGAGCTGAAGCTCCGCTCATTGCTGTCCGTGTGATTTCTTAGTGAGTATTTCGCTAGTTTTGTATTTGTTAATTGTTTTATGTAATCATGGTTCCGGAGCAGTGATGTCCTTGTTTCCTCACAACTTTAAGTCCCTGTCCACAATCGCGTTTACAGAACGAAGGAAGAATGTGAATATAATTCACAGAAAATCCTGACAGCTGTCAGGACACACACATGGATAGCTGGAGTTTCTTCTTAACTATATTTCAACGTAAAACACCTATTAGCTCCATGCTAATGTCGGAGTGACTGGATCCCACGGAAAGACTTCCTCGTGTTGGTTTAAATACGTCTCCACTCACCAACATGCCAGCTATATGATAGGCTGTACCATGTGATCGCTCGTAGGAAAAGCCATGAGGCTGAGCTGGAGAGGGCATAATGGTCGGACCCCAGCCATAGTGGCAGCTCTGTGTGGTCAAAAAGACGTTTTTGACTTACTAGTGTCCAATGCAGCGGTCCATTGTCAGTCTTGACCATGTAATCGCTTGTGACTCACTTCTGTCCAATGCAGCTGACCTCACACTGGTTGATGATAAAGATGAAGGTGTGTTACATGGTACAGTATGCTTGTGAAGGTGGTAATAATTCTATTGCCCAACACCTCATCCAGGTTTGTGACATCAATAAGAGAGGGCGTGATGGTTGGAATCCAGACATGGTGGCAGCTCTGTGTGGTCAAAAAGACGTTTTTGACTTACTAGTGTTCAATGCAGCAGTCCATTGTCAGTCTGGACCATGTGATCGCTTGTAGGAAACGCCATAATGTTGAGCTGGAGTTCCGCCCTTTGCTGCAGTTTGTAAATTCTGAGTGAGTATTTCGCCCATTATCTAACCTCACACATAAATGTCGTTTTCTGATTGGCTGAGCCAATTAAAGTACCCGCTTACAAGTGAGTAACATTTTGTATGTTACCCGCTGGAAATGCCGAACTGTGGGAATTCGCTTGGTACTTTGTTTGTAGTGTTTGGGTTGTTGCCTAACTCCGGTACTCCATATTATGATCCAATACTCGTGTTTCAAACAGTTCAAAATTAACATCGAGGTGTTCCATAAGATAAATACGTTGTTGACTTGTCACGAGGGGGAGTATGGGTTGATGTACACTGAATAGTTCCCCGCCCTTTGGGCTCAGGGAACATGAACAAACATAGAGGGTACATCTACCCATGGACCCGGAGGGCTCAGGGAACATAAACAAACACAGGGTACATCAAGCCATGGACCCCGAGGGACCAGTGAACAACTTACATTGTACATTTGTTAATTTTGTAATTTCCAGAGCAGTGATGTCATTGTTTCTCCCAAATTAAGTCCCTGTACACACATTCGCTTTGGCAGAACGAAGGAAGAACGTGAATGTAAATCAAAGAAAATCTAACAGCTGTCAGGACAAACACATATGGACAGATGGAGTTTCTTCTCAATTATATTTCATCGTAAAACACCTATTAGCTGACCGCCTCCGTGGTGTAGTGGTTAGAGCGTCCGCCCGGAGAGCGGAAGGTCAAAAAGACGTTAAAATATGGTACTTGTTGGTCCCTGCCTGGCGCTCGGCATTAATGGGTACATCAAGGACTGGTCGGCTCGGAGTCAGTATAATGTGTCTGAGTGGGGTATTCATGCTTCACTGCGGCATGGCTTCTCAGTGGGCTAGCACTATAAAACCAGCTTAAGTCTGGGCTAGTACAAGCAGCCGCACATACACGTATTACACGCATGCACGTCGTCATATGAGCGAAATATTCTCAAGTACGACGTTAAACCCACCTATTAGCTATCCACATCCTTCTACAATGATTTTGGGAGTGATTGGATCCCACTTGAAGGCTTCCTCGGGTTGGTTTAAATACGTCTTTGCTATTTTGCATCGACAAACCAGTGAGGTTCCAGTGGCATGCCAGAACAGCCGTAGGTGGTGGAACAGACTTTGCCTGCTTCGGATGAGGAGTGGACATTTCAAAAGTGCTTAGACGAGTTTCTTTTTTTGTTTTGTTCAGTCAACCTTAAGTTTACACGAATTGATGAACTGAA